TTTCAACGTTTATTTATTTTTGGGACAGAGAGAGACAGAGCATGAACGGGGGAGGGGCAGAGAGAGAGGGAGACACAGAATCGGAAACAGGCTCCAGGCTCTGAGCCATCAGCCCAGAGCCCGACGCGGGGCTCGAACTCACGGACCGCGAGATCGTGACCTGGCTGAAGTCGGACGCTTAACCGACTGCGCCACCCAGGCGCCCCTAAGATGACCTGTCTTACCAACTCTTCCCAGCCTTTCCCTCGGGGAACTCTCTTAACTTGTCCACCTCGTGCTGGCTGCTCCTTTGTTCCGCGTCTGCTCTGGACAGATGGGCCCAGAGTATATACATCATCCATACCCTCAACAGATAGTTACAGAACGTATACTGCGTGTCAGGTGCCGTTCCAGGCGCCGGGGACACCACAAGGCACAAGACAACAAAAATCCTTGTCCCCTCTGAGTTGATGTTCTGCTTGGGGACATAAGAGAAAATCACAGCAAAAAAAAAGGGGATAGGAATGCTGGGCAGGGGAACATCATTTAAAAAAAGAATTTTTTTTAAATGTTTATTTTTGAGAGAGAGAGAGAGAGAGAGAGCAGGGGAGGGGCAGAGAGAGAGGGAGACACAGAATCCGAAACAAGCTCCAGGCTCTGAGCTGTCAGCCCAGAGCCCGACGCTCGTGGGCTTGAACCCACGAACCATGAGATCATGATCTGAGCCGAAGTCAGACGCTTGACTGACTGAGCCACCAGGGGAACGTCATTGTAAAGGTCAGGGACATCCTCGCTGAAAAAGGAATGTCTGAAGGAAGCCGTGAGGGAGCTGAGGGAGTGAGCCATGTGACTATCTGAGGTAAGAGTGGGCAAGATGGAGGGAACAGCAAGCGCAAAGGCCCTGAGGCAGGAGCAAGCCTGGTGTGTTTGGGAATGATAAGGAGGCCAGCATGGCTGGAGCAGAGTGAGTGAGAGGCAAGGTAGTAGCAGATGAGGTCAGTAGGTGTGACGGCCTGAAAAATGACCCTGCAGAGATACCAGGTCCCAATCCCTGGAACCTGTAAATGTTACCTTCTACGATGAAGTTTTTGCAGATGTGATTAAATTATGGATCTCAAGGTGGGAAGCTTATCCTGGGTTATCCAGACAAATAGGGCCATTACGAGTGTCCTTACAAGAGAGACAGAGGGCAATTGGACACCCAGGGAAGAAGATAAGGTGATGTGACCCCAGAGGCAGCTGCTGGAGTGATGTGGCCACAAGCCAAGGCTTGCAGGGAGCCTCCTCAGAGCGCGTGGCCCTGCCAGCACCTTGGAAGGTGAAACAGAATTCGACTTCTGGCCTCTAGATCTGCGAGAGAACCAAGTGATGTTGTTTTAAGCCACCGAGTTTGAGGTAATTTGTTACAGCAGCCCCAGGAACTGAATTCAATAGGTCATCCCATCTGAAGGTGTTTACGCGCTGGCTTGGGGTATCTGTTGGGCAAGCCCGTGCACGAGTATGGGTCTGGGCCCCTCCGACTGAACTCAGACTGTCAAGAGTGGGGACCACACCCTGCTCCTTGTTTCTAGCGCATGTGGATAGACAGGCCACTTCTCTGGGTCTCACCACGGAGGTCTGGGCCAAAGTCTCCACGGGGTACAGACAAGTCACAGCGAAGGAAGGCTACCCTTCAAAGAGCAACCGTTTATGGCACAACCGGGGTCAAGCCATGCCGCATGACGGCAATGGCAGCGGTCACTCCAGACGATCCTTTGGAAGCGGGATAGGGCTTGAGGTCAGCAGACCAAGATGTCGTGCTTGTCAAGGGGATTCATGCATCGGAACAGATTTATTTTAACACCCTGGCCCAAGGGGAGCGGCTGAGGGAGAAGCAGGGCTACTCACTTGCCGTGAGTGACATCAGCCAACTGTGCAGATGATGCCTGGATTGGGCAACACTGGATGTGGGTCAAACCAAGGAAGCCTTGCCTGGGCTTCTGGGCTCCCGGGCTCCCGGGCTCCCAGAGCTACATGTGGAAGGATGGCTGGGGGTGGGGGTGGGGGACAGTTTTCCAAAGAACGGCCTAGTAGAACAAGAAGGCAGGGGTCCCGTGGAGCTGAAAAGCCTCCAAGCTGGAACTTCTTCCACTGCCCCCGACCCAACTCAGTTTCTACCTGGACTCCAAGGCAAGAGTCCTGGCCATGATGGCTCCAGTCACCACCGGAGCCCTGGGAACATGGCTCAGTACGCCTACGCGGGCACGAAGAATGGCGTGGTGCCTGACCTGGTATAGACGGTCAGCAACCACATGTCGAGCTGAAGTTCAGCAGGGAATCAGCTCCTTGGGGACCCTGGCGAAATACAGGCAGGGAAAGGCTCTGAGGGTGGTCTGCCGGCCCACGCCAAGAGCTCGGGCTGCAGGTGGCCAAGGCCGCGGTCTCTGGCCCTCCAGTTGACGACGGAACTCTCAGGTTTTCCATCATGGACCCATTTGCAAATGCGCCATGCTGTCGTCAAGCCATATGCTCGCCACTTTGGAAAACAGGCGCCGTGCCCAGGCCCCCCACACCCACAAGGAAAGCCTGTGACGGGCACGCTGAATTGTGTGTCATCACTAAGTGCTAAGGTGCTGGCTTGGGAAGAAGAGCAGGGAACAGAAAGAGAGCACAGTAGGGAAAAGTCACAGAAGGGGAAGGCTTCCCAGACAAAGTATGCCACTCTGCCTCTGGCCTACAAGACACTCCAATGAGGTTCGTCAGGGACTTAAGCCGGGTTTTTTTCCCCCAAAAGGTAAATCAAGCCTGAAGACAAAAAAGTCTACCATAGAGGCTTCCGTGCCTCACCCGGAGCATATGGAGGAAGCAGGGCCGGGATGCATAGAACAGGGAGCCAGGCAGAGCAGGTGCCCAGGGTCCCGTCTGTCTGCAGGATGAGACCAACGAGATCACTTCCTCCCTCCAGAAGAGTGCCTGGGGACACTCGTGCTTTGCACAGCAAGAAGGGAGGGGTGACCACAACCACCGGCATGTGCGGCCATCACCCGTCCCCAGCCCCGCCACTAAGAGGGCCAGCCCAGAGCACTCGGTGGCCAACACCGGTTTACCAGCTGACCTGGGAAGAAGGTGGTCCAGAGAGGGGAGAACATTCCTATTGACTTGGAGAATCCTCACAAGGCCCTCTAGGACACCAAAGAACCTCCTCCAGATGACGGTGACCCCACACAGGAGCCCTGCCCGTCCTCCCAGGGCTGGCCACTCTGTGCCCCACTCCCGCCGCACCCAAGCTCTCCCTTGGGCCTCACCAAGCTGGTCTCTGGGAGAGCTGGTCAGCTCTCTCCCATCGCTCTTCCTGGCTCCGAACGTGCAGAACTTCACAAAACAACCCACGCCCCCAAACAAGACCTATACCCCCTCTCTTCCTCCCCTGCCCCAAAGGCTTGGGTAACCGTCTTCTGCCTCGCGAGGAAGACTCGAGAATGCAGCGTGCCCACTGGCTACCTAAGTGGCGGGTGCTCTGTGCTCGCT